TATAATTTTTCTCTGCTTTTATATCATCATTATTATTATTATTATTATTTTGTCTCGAAATAAGCTCCTGTTTGTCTACTTAAATGACTTTAAAAAAAAAAAAAAAAAAAGAAAAAAACTTTAAAAAAGGAATAATCAATAAAGTTTAACAAATCTTAGGTTATTTATAAATTTTATACAAAATTACACTTAAACTTGAAGAGTAGTAACAAAATTTTGCAAGAGAAAAAAAAAACCTTACATAACCTTAAAAAACCTTATGCAAGCGTTTCTAATTGTTGCGGTTAGCCGCTAAGCATAAATCCAAGTCAGTGACACTATATATATATATATATATATATATATATACATATATATACATATATATTGTATATATACAAACTTCGCATAACAATACTTTTGTCTCACCTGAAAGGGTATGTTTGGGTTACCGTAACGTATGCGTAAAAATAATTTACATAGAATTGTGTGTACATCCCTTGTGTGCTTAGAAGAAAAGTAAAGGTTTCTTAACTCTTTCTGTAAAAATTAAACTAAACTAAAATCTCGGTCGTCGTTAGTTGTTAAAATTGACAAAGGTACTCACTTACTAACTGAATGGTGGCACGCCGGGAGTTTGGGGGAGCAGGCCAACCGAGGTATTAGATTGTGTTGTACTTCGTTTTTGTTCTTGTGCTTCTCTCTCGCCAGACAAATCCATTAAAATACAAATTAGAATTTCGGTATTTGTGTTAGTAACGTATTTTAAAATAGAAAATTTTACACACAAATGTATACACACACACACACACACACACACATACATACATAGAGAGAGAAACAAATTAAAAATTGCTTCCAAAAATGAGTTAATACTTTCTGCAATAGAATAACAAGTATTTTGAATAATTTGAACGTAAAATGTATGTGTGCGTTACGGTTGTTTTCCTATCAAATTGTTTCATGTACGCTTTGAAATCCGTATGTATTACTTCCTGTATTATTAAAAAAATATTTCCCTTGTTTTGGCCCCTTCGTCATTTTAGCCGTTTTTTACAAAGACCTGGTAAAAGTATGCTTCGAATTGAAACAAATACTTGGTATTGTATTGCAAGTAATTTCGAATCAAAGTTTGCTATTTAAATTGGAATTGTAATGGAATGGAATCTCATTTAATGGTTAACGAAAGAAACCAATCAATAAAATCTTAGTCGATTCAATCAACATTAACGCGTTACTACGCGTAATATGGCATTTTTCATCAAATTTTCATTTTCTATCCCACCACCATTTTATGGGTCTGATGATTTCAATATCGTTGACGATATGATTCAAATTTCTTATGCGTAAATGATTGGAAGGTTAAAACTAGTTTCAAAGAGATATAAATCAATTTGTAAAAAGAATATCAGCAGAAGCACGTATTGAATGAAAAACTTCAGAAATTTTGATAGTTGAGAGCGTATTAGTTTAAAGACAAAGTGAAGCACAGCAAGCAAACCGTTCAGAATGTTGACGAGGAAGAGGAAATTGCGTTTGATAGATCCTTCTTACAAGATTAAAATTAGATATGTTACGCCCATGTGATCGTTTATAAGCCTCCTTTAAAAATCCGTACATAAGACCATGCCTACAATGAGCATTCTACTACACCTGGACACTTCGAGCACTTGGAGTACTGAATAACGGTCAAAACATAGCTCGCGTAGCCATGATTAGCCTGAAATGTAAAATCAATGCAATGCAATCTTTTTCGTGATGTACAACAATACGAATAGCGGATGTTCTAATATGCTGATCAGGCCAAGTGCAATTTCCCTCTTGTGTGATGTTAATGATACTTAGTTCATTTTTTGCGTGGGGTTCACAAATCAGTTCATGCCTTCCATATGTGTGGCGGCCTGGTGATGATTAGAAAAGACTGAAAACTGGGCTTCGGAGGTGTGGTGAAGGGAAGGGGAAATAATATTTTTGTGTATGTTCGATGCAAGTGTAAACATTAGGAAGAATGGGAAGCTGAGTCATTACAAGTACTGAGTAGCCGAAGGGGAGGAATCTCGACTAGCAAGTCAATGGTCGTGGGTTCGAATCTCAAGTGCGGTAGAGTTTTTAATAAAAGCCGATAGCCTTAGATGCTAGTGCTTTTAAGAGTTTAGTCTTAGAATTTATTTCTGTGGCGAAATTAATAATAATAATAATAATAATAATAATACAAGTACTAACATCGTATCCAAATACCGCTAACCGATAACATCAAAAAATGTTCGGGCCTTTGTAAAAATTCCCATTAGTAGGATCAGTCGAATTCAGAAGCAAATTTCTCTAGATTCTATTCGATTCGTTCGAAATTCAACGTCAAACGGGGCAGGAATTATTGTACAAATTTTTGTTTTTCTGCAAACAGTAAATGGATGAAAATGTAAAACAGTTTTTTTTTTGCTTGTTTTGTTGTAAATATAACCAATTCTCATTCACCTCAATAATTTCTTGCAACAACTGAAAAGAATGCAAAAAACTGCATATATAAAACACATAGATATTTACAAATACACAAGCCAACCGTACAAAATCTCATATATTATAAGTAAGTGAGTGAGTGAGAAGGCGAAATTTTTTATGCTTGCAATTCAATTTCTTTTTCTTTATGATAATCATACACACACACACACACACACACACATATATATACGTACATATACATACATACAATTAGACATACACAGATTAAGTAAACCTTCCCTGTGCAATATATCAGTTGCTATATATATATATATATATATATATATATATATATGTGCGTGTATATACATATGAGTATTTTTAAATATTTTTTGTAGCCCACGAGAAAAAATTTACACATACATAAGGAAATATGTATTTATACATATATAAATATGTTCTTCTTTTATATATATATACATAAATACGTATTTTTTTTCTGTGTATTTTATTTGTATCTTTTATTGTGTGAAAAATTCTGTTCTTTCGCCGTATATAGTCAGTCGTCGTTCTTCTTTTTTCATACATGTATGTGTATGTACATGTAGTTTTCTGTTTTCTGTTTTCTGTTTTCTGTTTTTTTTTTTTTTTCGAGTTTTTCTTGTTTTTCACAGTTTTTGTCATACACTCTTTCTTGCGTGTTGGTGTCACGTTTACTAAGTTTCGATTCTGATTGGACGTGTTGGCATAGTTGCTTTACTTTCATTTCCACTTGTAGATGGATACCTACATCATTGCTTTACTATGCATGCATACATATATGTATATATCTATAAATAAATGTATGTGTATATGGCTTTTGGCCATTGGAAAACTCCACCCATATACTCAGGAATGCTTGCTTTTGTTGCTAGAGCATTCCTACACATGTCTACATATGCATGCACGTTCCATTGAATTTATAAATGTATATGTGTATCTATGTATGCAGAATGCATGCAGTGAATCGATAAGAATTGTAAATGTATGTACGGCTATGCATATGAATGTAAAAGCACGCGTATGTTATGCTCTTCTATAGTTATTTGAACACTGGTGCTGTCTCTTATACAAATCAATAGAATATCATAGCATTCATCAATTTTTCAAAATTTTCGTAATTGAGAAAATTATTTTTCCTTTTAAGTACGAGTTTTGGATATTTGTAGTAAAATCAATCCTAAGGGTTTATCAAAATGTTCTTCTTTAAACATTTTACATACAAGCAAAATTCATTTATTCTCTTGAATACATAAACTTATGCCTTTCTCAATATTTCCAACTTAAATGAATTAACGAATGATTTGTTATTTTCTCTCCTATCTAATTCACCCAAATGTGGCCTATTGTCTAATGCTACAATTGATTAATATGAAAATCAAGAAGGTCCGCTATCCGCTATCATTAATTGCTGTACTCTTTAAAGATCAAATTTATATATACTTGAAATTATTTACTAAAAAAGAAGTGAAAACGCGATAGTAGGTAACTGCGCACCATTAAATATCCATCAATACCCTACCACCATCGTTACCATCGTTATTCATAATGAAGCGTTATATAGGAAGTGATCGCAAAACGTATTCCGAATCGAACGATTTGCAATAGCGTTCGTCCGTCCTTGGGCAAATATCTCAAATACGTAGGCCCTGCAAGTTGATCGGAATACATCAAGACGGAGAGACAGGAAAGCGATTCTGTGTCGATCGGTATACATAATAGAAAGTGAGTTTATTTCAAGCTCTTTGGTATATTGAATCTACCTGCAATAAACCCTTGTACCATAGGGTGGGTGTAGATTATGACAATAGTACGAAAGTATATATGCAACATTTTGTATGCCGGGGTTTTCGAAGAGTTTGATCCAAATCGTATATGGCTCGACTCAATCGAGTGATCAGTTTCCATATTGACTTCATATGGCAGATGTATAAAAGACTCCCCTCACTTTTAACTAACTAAAGACGTACACTATCTCTGACGTTGTCTTCGTTGACGACGTATGAGATATATTTTATTGACTACTTTTTTCAGTTCCGATAGCTAGTTGCTCGATTTGTTTCGATTCACAATATGCCTTCGGTTGCACCTAACGTATAGCTCTGTTACAACAGCATTTATTCGGTCTCTTGTGCATTGTTGTCGTATGCAGTTGACCTTTAAAATATCCATATTTTTGCAAATGGATTAATACTTTTTCGCCAAATGGGCTTTTTTCTTTTTTTTGATACAATGCTTAATTTCATGCCAGGCCTACTTGTTTCCTGCATATGAACTGGTGGCCTGCCGTTCTGCGCCCAGTGAGATATTATTTTTTTTTTTTTTTGTTATTTTTCTTGTCTCACAACTAGTTATGAGAAATATAAGAACGTGTCTAAGTGAGAGAGTAATAGCGGTTGCTTAGTGTCGTCGCGTTCCGCTACCGCTAGTAACCGTGGCAACATTTTCGAATAGTTTCTTTAGTGACCCATACAGCAATCGATTAAACATTTTTGCAAAGTTTAAGAAAAGTTGATTTTATTTTTGCCTAATAATTTTGCAAAATGAAATTCTTTCTAAAGAAATGTCTACGCAAAAGACCTCAGGAAATGAAACCTGGGGCTATACTCGATGCCGTCATTTCTCAATCATCGGCCACTACAAATAAATGTCTACTGTACAAATTGGCGGATTTTAAACGAGGTAAAATTTGAATTCTTACTCTAAGAGAAAGAAAAACCTAAAATGAATCGTTTCACTCTTCACTTCACGGTAAAGGAGGCGATCTCATTGATGCCATCAATACGGGTGGTCTTGTTGCTGTAGAGCAATTGATACGCGATCAATTTGCGGTTTTTATGTATAATGACGGAAAAGGTCAAGTAATCAATCGGGCAGAGTTTTTACGCTGGAAATATCGCGATCATACTGAAGTCACTATACCCATTGAGGCCTCACTTTCTATACACGATCCTTTGGGTAAATGGCAGGATCACAGTGCCTGTTGGCAAATGCAATATCGTGGTGCTTTAGGTGAAAGTTTGTTGCATGTGCTAATCATATGTGATAGTAAAGTGCATACAAAATTGGCTCGCATTTTGCTAAGAGTATTTCCACGCTTGGCTTTGGATGTAATGGAGGGAGAAGAGTATTTGGGTGCTAGTGCTCTACATTTAGCTATTGCTTATAGTAACAACGAATTGGTTGCCGATCTAATAGAGGCAGGAGCGGATATAAATCAAAGGGCTGTGGGTAGCTTTTTTTTGCCAAGGGATCAACAGCGCTCTAATCCGGCCAAATCTACCGATTACGAAGGTCTTGCTTACATGGGCGAATATCCCTTGGCTTGGGCAGCTTGTTGTGCTAATGAAAGTGTCTACAATTTGATTATAGATCATGGCGCTGATCCTGATGCTCAAGATTCATTCGGAAATATGATCTTGCATATGGTAGTAGTATGCGACAAATTGGTAAATATATGTTTTCGATAAGATCGAATAGATCCTTTCATAATTTTAACCTTTTTTAGGATATGTTCGGTTACGCTTTACGTCATCCGAAGACTCCCGCAAAAAACGGCATCGCTAATCATGGTGGATTGACACCGTTAACTCTGGCTTGTAAACTAGGGCGAGCCGAAGTATTTCGCGAAATGTTAGAGTTGTCAGCTCGTGAATTTTGGCGTTACAGCAACATAACTTGCTCTGGTTATCCGTTAAATGCTTTGGATACTTTACTGCCAGACGGACGCACAAGTGGGATATATAGGCTTTTCGCAGTTAAACACTCCTAAACAGTCCTTTTTTCGTAGATTGGAATTCGGCTTTGTTTATTATATTGAATGGAACAAAAGAAGAACATTTAGATATGCTGGACGGTGGAATTATTCAACGTTTGCTTGAGGAAAAATGGAAAACATTTGCCCAAAATCAATTTCTTAAACGCCTTCTAATTCTTATGGTGCATCTGCTTTGCCTCTCGGTATCTGTATACTTAAGGCCGATGCATGATACAGATGACGACGACGACGACGACGACGGCGACGACGATAACGAAGATAGCGATTATAAAACTAAAGGGGGAGAAGTTAGAAAGCTAAATCAGGAGGCAGAAGATTATGATGTCCAAACTATAGCTCGTTATTGTGCTGAGTTGGCAACGATTGCAGGTGTTCTAAGTTTTCTAATTTTTCAGCAGGGAGATGAAATCAAAAATCAAGGATTATCAGCATTTCTTAAACAGTTGGTAAGAAATGTGAAAAAATTTTCGCTTGAGGTAACCTTTACTTTTTTTGAAATCATTCGATCGCGATTGTAGTCTCACGCTCCCGCGAAAGCTATATTTTTAGTATCGAATATATTGATTTTATCCTGCATACCATTTCGTTTAATGGGCGACACCGATACTGAGGAGGCCATATTGATATTTGCTGTGCCGGGGAGTTGGTTTTTGTTAATGTTTTTCGCAGGGTATAATTTTAGCGTCATACTTACTCGAAATTAATTCCGAGCTTTTGTTTACAGTGCCATTCGCCTAACCGGGCCATTCGTGACTATGATTTATTCGATGATAACTGGTGATATGTTTACGTTTGGCATTATCTACTCGATTGTTTTGTGCGGATTTTCGCAAGCATTCTATTTTCTGTATAAAGGACATCCGCAGTTGCAATCTACAATGTTTAATACATTTTCCAGCACATGGATGGCCTTGTTTCAGACCACTTTGGGCGATTATAATGTAAGCGTAAAGAATAATAATTGAGATTTAGTATACTATTTTCTATTCGTTCTTTCAGTATCCAGATCTGAATCAGACCACTTACCCGAATTTATCTAAAACAGTTTTCGTAATGTTTATGATTTTTGTACCCATTCTACTCTTGAATATGTTGATTGCTATGATGGGCAACACGTACGCGCACGTTATTGAACAATCGGAAAAGGAATGGATGAAGCAATGGGCAAAAATCGTTGTAACTCTCGAGAGAGCTGTACCGCAAGCAGACGCGAAGAATTATTTAGAAGCTTACTCTATACCGTTAGGTCCTTCAGATGATTCAGGTTTTGAGGTGCGAGGAGTAATGGTTATCAAGAGTAAAAGTAAGACAAGGGCTAAGCAAAGAAAGGGCGCCGTTTGTAATTGGAAACGAGTCGGTCGTGTAACATTGAACGCTTTGAAGAAACGCGGCATGACGGGAGAAGAAATGCGACGTCTTATGTGGGGAAGAGCTTCTATATCTAGTCCCGTTAAGATTACCAAAAAAAAATTGAAGGATCCATATAACTTGCATCCCGAATTGGCCATCCAAGCAAATATTACAAATGCCATGGATATGTTAAACTTTGCAGCCGAACTTTCCCCTGGTGTTTCAACTTGTTCGAAGACGGCAACTGTTCCGAAAGATGACATTATATCACCAACTGATCCAATAAGAGACTTGATAATAATGTCTGAAGAAAAACCTGAAACTCAGGATCCCCAGTTTTATGCTGGTCTTATACAACTGGCCAATAAAGCCTTTGAGTTGGTGGAACATACCATGAAATCGCAGTCCGTAGAAATGCAAAGCGCAATAACGACATTACAGGCCAACAATCAAAACGACGTAAATATAATGCAATGTGATGAGATTTTCATGCAGGAAGAGGATATGGGTACAGAAATCGGTTGTAACGTGGGCCTGTCATTGCCTGGCAATTTGACAAACTTGTTTCAAGATCCAAAAGATATTGTAGACCCTGAGAAGCTTGAACAATTCTTAAAAATGGTAGCGGAGGTAGAAACTGAAGAAAGCGATGGAGGCGGACCTATATTGGGAAAATTGTCACTGGCTCGTAGAACTCGTATGGCTTTATTTAAAGCTACAATACCTGAAAATAATTTGGAAAGCAGCCCAGAAAATTTAATCACATCAGTCTGGGATCACGTGTCAGAGGAAAATGCCGATGATATCCCGGTAAGAAATAGAAATATTTAAATTTTTATCTAATTTTAAATTATATAACGAAATTTGCAGAATTTCGATTTCCAAGAGGCAATAGCCATTGAACATGTGCTCACGGTGGAACAAGAGCCTGACGTTGAAACCGAAGATGGTAATGAGCAAACGGGCGCAAGCAGCGATGATAAACCCACAGCTGAAGAGATTCATGCCACCATCAAACAATTTCATTTACGTAAGCGACAATATCAACAGGACGATGCAGCTCGCCGCGCCAAAAGTGCTAGAGTAAGACGAAAGAATCGGTGAGTTTTATAAATTATCCGTGCAATTCGAACACGTTATGTTAATGGTGAATGTAGAGTTTCCCCGGAGTATTGTGCTGATGAAATGGATTATAGTCGGGGCCGTTCAGCGCCATTAAAATTGAAACGAGGTGAAGAGAAGGTATCTCCGCCCGATCCTTTGGAGCCATGGAGTACACGTGAATTGCAAAATATAAATAAAATATTAGGTGCAAAATAAACGAAAATATAATTCTAATCTTCTCATTACCGGAGAAGCAAAATTTTTCTATAGATAATAGGTAATCGCTTCTACTTATTGTTATAATATATTTGCATATTGAATTAATCGTAGATATACGTGGTCCTTAAGACTTTACCTTTTGCGCTTTCGAGGAAATGTTATATAAGAAATTAGAAGAAAGCTTTCTTTTCCTAGCTATAGGAAAATGCACGCTCTCAGAAGGATTGCAAGCTAAATTAAGTCTTTAACAAAGTTAGCTTTGGTTGCGGTAAGCACCATAATCACAATCACATTAAATAATAAATCGTCACTATCGTGCAAAATAAATCGAAACATTTTATGAATGAATGTAATGACGTGTTTTTTACTCTTCGTAAGGAATAACAAAAAAAGCGTATTGGTGGCCATCACCTGAACTATCTAATCGAGTATTTATCATTTTCAGGATATGGATAGGATTGCCTGCGACCAATTTGTAGGGTATTTAAATATCAGCAACACGCGACTTCAAGTCGTAGTGCACACCGAAAATCTAAAGAGATCTGTATTCAAAAATTTCATTCAAAACTTGTAAAAATTTCGTAGTAAGAGGAATATCGTGGCTGTATACCAGAGTGCTTGTCATAGTCCGAATTTGCCGATTATATTTTGTGATGGGCACTACGAAATTCCAACTGGTTTTTGCATCGTTTTGTGCAATGATTTAAAGTTGTGCGCGCGCGCCTTGAGACAAGACCTGAAACTGAACGACCATGAGAAGCAATATAGTCGTCTTAATAAAAAATAGCTCTCAGCTGAGGACTACTGCTCCGTTTCACATTGAACGATTGCTTTAGCTATAGATGAACAAGTGGAAGCCCTACGATATGCAATTATGATCACATAGAAAAACTTACTGTCTTATGATGAGTTAATTTTCTGTCATCATCTCCAATTCATTGCATTGCATTTTTCGTTGAAGCAGTAAGCATAGATGTATGTAACCATATATTAATGTATTATTAAGTTTCAATATTTCAAGATATTTGGTCCTATTTTTGGAGTGGCGCTCTCCATCATACCATACGAGAAGTCCGAGTTGGAGAAAAATGGATACAAGTAGATACTAATTGTTAATATTTTATGCTAGCAAGACGACGAGGTTTTTTTTGAAAATTTAAAAAAAATAAATTTATGACTACACCAGTGTGTTTGCAATTAATTATTAAATATTTTTGTATTGTTTATATGTGTATGTTTATCTTAAATGATTTTGCTCTGTTGTTTAATTATAATTAATTATTGAGTTATCTAAAACTCGAAACTTATCAAAAAAAAGAAAAAAAAAAGAATCGTAAATTTATAAGAAGGACGTATATGATCCATGTGATGATTATATGAAGAGCCGTAATTCCTTTGTGCATCTACATGCGCATCAGTTCGACTATATTCTCTTTGTTTTTACATTCGTTCGGTTAACAACACGTTTCTGTTTGCAAATGATATCCTAAAACATTTTATCCAAATTACCAACACTTAACACTTTCTTTGGTCGTTTCCTTCATTGTTGTTTACTATATGCTCCATGAAATTCATTTATTATTCCGAAGGCATCTGTCGAGAATTCTTGTTTGTGTTAATCTTTAAAAGTAAAATTTCTTTAAATCTTGATGTACAAATACAAAATCCAGGTATTACGATTTTGTGGTTTCAAGTTCGTGTGCAAATATACAAAAGAAAGAAAGAAAAAAAAAAAAAAAAACTAAAATACGAACAGTTCGTGTGTGCGTGTTTATATCATTTCATTATCATTTTCATACACGTATCGGCCAAAGTAGGAAAACTCGTTTGAAAAATTCACAAAATAAATTGGAAGGAGAAGAAGAACACGAACCGCATGTGCATGCATTTCACATTCAACAAACATTATCAAGACATTGGTCACGTTTACAGTTGTATTAAGCCATCTGTTAGCTGGTATGTATACCACAGCTGATTACTAATTTCGGTTTTCATCAACGATGAATGAACTGAAAACGTATGAGAAACTTCGCATTGACAAAAAAAACAAAAAGAAATGAGCCAAAGAGGGAGAAGAGATAATACGGGAGCAATCTCAATCAAGTTACGCGCGTGTAAAATGAAAGCGATTCCATCCCAGATGGACAACGTTGTTAATGGCACTTGTATTTTGAAAAGTATCGAATAGGATCTTACCTGCTAAAAGGCAGGATAAGTATATCAAAATGATGCTTGATTTCTTTGCAAATGTGGAAGTTTATTTAAGTTAATGAAATAACTTTAATTAGTAGTGGTAATGATGAAAATCCAAAGAAGAACAAACATAAACACATCTCTGAGAATATATTCGAAGCTTTATTGGTACATTAATTACTTTCTTTCTGCAAGAAGATTTAAGATTATTTTCATATCTTCTCCGTTGATGTATTTATAATGTTTGTGAAGTGTAGAAAAATTCATTGAAAATTCATAAAAAAATTGTATGCTAACTAACATTTCTAAGTAGCTATTTCTTAAAAACTGTTACGTATGCAAGAAAATGTGTTCTACAGCGAAGCGACCAAGTAAATATACTATAGTGGGACACGACCGACCCTTATAAGCCCTAGCCTACCACTTCGCCAAAGATGATTTTTCATATAACAAGTTTTCAGAAATGATCCGATCCGAATCAATTTTCAACAGCTTGCGTCCGTGCGCCAAAACGCAAGAGCTGAAAGGTTGCGACATAAACGTTGAACACACGTTGAAAACAAGACAGACCGACGATCAGTACAATAAAAGTTGGATCTATTGTAAGTTCTTCTAGTTCTTGCATACCCTCTGCAAAAAAGAAGAAAAAATTGACAGTCCATATTATTGGATAGGTGTAGATAATCTTTCCATTTCTGGTATCAAAAGGTTAGGATCACCCATCCATAGAAGTTTTTTTTTGTTGTTACGTCTATATCGAGATTGCTTGCCGCCACATCCATCCACATAGATGGATGTACAGACGGACATGTGCAGTGTGTTTCAATGCTTGATATTCAAGTATATATATATATATGCCCCTTTATATGGTCTCTGAAGCATCCTTATGGGTATCGCAATCGCTTGATAAGCTCTTGCTCTTCGGCTGTGGATTTAATTATTTAAATTCATTTGTGTATATTTGTGACCTGTGATGTTTGAACTCTTTTTGTTTGGTTGAATATATAAAAAGCGATTTTAGCAGTATAGAAATGCTGACACCAACATGACCCGACACTAGATACATTTGTGAAAGTTTAAATAACAATTTGTGATCAAATTGATGAGAGACTCCTTTGCCTTTTTTAAACAAGGATCTCTAAAGGGTCTCGATGGGCGTGCAATTTTTCGCGTTCGTTTTTTCATTCGCATTCAAAAATTACTCATTAAAGACCTGATAAAGATTATTTGCTTTCGGCAGGTGTGACACTGTAGGTCATTTTAGCCATGTTCGCCTGTTTAGCGGCCGATGACATAAACTTGAAGAATTGCGTGTAAAGTTGGCAGCGTACACTAGCATCGAGTTTCTTGTCCCCGTATCGGCATACGCGATAGTGTATGAGTCGAGCATAAACACCTTTTTACTAACTCTTCAAGTCACTTATGTGTACATATTCCTCAATGCTGAACTGCTTCATGCGTCAGTTGACTGATAATTTTGACTAATATTTTGATGAACGCATTTGCTTTTCCCTTTCTAATCAAAACATTACTTTAAAATTATTTATTGGCATATTTCATCTTATGAATGTGTTATGTATTTACAAATATATATATATATATCAGAAATTAGGGAAGATTATATTATATTATAAGTATGTATATTTGTTGGCAATGGGCTTAATGAGTGTCATATTTGGGGCGGCTGCTTTATGCCTTTTTTCTATTTTCTTTTATTAAATTAATGAATTTTTTGGCTGTTGTCTCCAACACTAGCTAATGAGCTGATACTAATGCGTATAATAATTTGAACGGCGACGTGTTGTATATATGACTGCATATATATATATATATATATATATATACAGTGTATGTATATTAGTGTAGGTCTTCATATTTGGTAAAAACAAACACAAACATATAATAAATATGTTGGCACCATCGTACGCTTTAAATTATACTTTATATTACGTTCGTAGAACTGATAAAGGAAAAAAGAAAATATTTTTTTTTTTTTTTTTTTTTTTTTTTTTTTTGCAGAAAAACTTGATAAAGCGAAAGTGTTGTATTGTTTGTTATTAAAGCGATCGTACATAAGATATATTTAGGCGTATGTGTGTATGTGTGTGTGTGTGTGTGTGTGTATGTGCGTGTGCAAGTGCGTCATAAGGTCGTAAATATTACAAGTCAACTGAAAGTTATTTTTCTTTGTATTTTCATTTTGTTGCTATAATGTTTCATATGAATGAATAAATAAATGAGAGAAAGTACAGCGAAATAGACTAAAAGAGAGAGAGAGAGAAAGGGAGAGAAAGAGAGAGAAAGAGAGAGAGAAAAATAGATTTAAAGACAGACACGAAGGCATGACGCTCATTAAGATAATTGTTGGCAATTAACTAAATTGACACAACATTTGTTAAGTTTCATAATAAATAGTACGTAGAGTATATACGAGCACACATACACATTCAAATATATGGTATTAGCGTGTACGCAAGTAAGCGAGCCTGCACTAGTCAGTAAGTGAGTGCATAGCGTGATTTTTATTATAGTGTACTTTTTATTGTCTCTCGCGCTGTTGTTGCCATTGCGAGAAAACGCAACAGTGAAGAATTTTACATATTATTCTTGTTATTATATATATATATATATATATATAAAATCAAATATACCTAGAGACAGACTTAAAATTTTGAAGAGGCTGAGTAATATTTTGCTGTTTGCAACGTTCACCATTTACAAATTTACATATCATCTAAACCTTTATATATTTACGTGAACGCGCATTTACATGTATATGTATGTATGTATGTATGTATGTATGT